AATTATTATTGATTGATTGAATTCATTATGGGGGAGGCGATGAACGATGAATTGTATGGATGGATATTGAGTATGTATGTATGTACGAGTGTGCTCTGGACTCGAGAACGAGGGGGTTACCAGCAGAGAACGATCGAAGTCCAGCTCCTTGTAATCGAAGTAATCGAAGAAATCAAGTCAAGTTGTCCCCATTCCAATTGATCACAGTGCTACGGACTACAGATGTTGCTACCATGCCTACGTTTCAAAGACCAAGACAATAATGGACGGTTGGGGAATTTTGATAGAAAGTAACGTCCATCATAATCCTAGCAACAACATCATCATCATCATCATTAATGTATTGCCGCACGAGCACCAGGCGAAAGGGACGAACGGTCGGTTATGACACGCACACCCTCTTCTCCCCTCCCTCTCCCTCGCTTTCCAGTCTTTCCAGTCCGTCCATCGCGTGGGAATTTTGATACTACGTTTATTTTGTGTAGTCTTCCCTCCCCCTTGCGAATCTTGCTGTCTTATGTTCTCTCAGACCCATCCCCTTTATCCCCCCCACGAAAGAATGACTGAATGACAATGAGAAGAGCCGATCAAATAATTAATAGTAACCTCCGGTCGTCATCTTCTGATCGGAGACTGGGTTCACCAGCCGTCGATCCGCTGGGTTCCTCCCCAATCAGCCCCAGAGGCGAAAAGAGCAAAAGCCCACTAAACGGTTTAGTGAGAGAGGAGAAAAAGTTAACGAGGCGAAGTCTAGGCTTATTCTTACCCGATCCACTGGACGGATGCATACAATAGGGACATAAAGAAAGATTCTTGCTCCTGTAATGAAGTCAACAAAATGGAAGAAGCAACTTAAGTGATTCGAAGGCTACATGCACGAAATACTGAGTATAACCTGCGATCATGGTGAAAATCACCCATTCTTTTTTATTGTTATTTTCAGATCCTTTGGTGCATGGATAATGGTCTCTGGGCTGTCTGTCTGTTCTGTCTCCCTATAACCATTATTCTACAGAGTAACTATGCAGTGGCAAGACATCGGCAAGCAAGCAAGACCAGTCAGCATCTGCACTCTCGGCACGTTTGGCTGTCCGGAGTAGTCCTTACTTTGCCTGTCCCTGCACATTCACCACTGCACATTAGTTACTGTGTACTCTGTGTGCGTGCGTGTGTGTGTGTGTGTGTGTGTGTGTGTGTGCGCTCCATGCAGACTGCACTGCTGCAGTTGTGCCTTTAATCTCACATCACAAACTTACTAGTACTTCTATTCCCATAACACAACCATCCTTCTCCAAAACCACCTCGACCTCGTTCCCATCGCAACGGGACAACCAACCCCTTCGCAGCCAACCTTTCTCATAGGATGGTGCACAACTGAGCCTCCGAGGCAAGATCATCCATCCCTCCCCATCTCGGTGCTAATCTCCGCTGCCAGGTGCGCTGCAGCAGCGTAATAATTCGGGGTCAACGGGAACCGGAGGGCCCCAAACCGGAGCCAATGACCCCCTCCATCCCTCATTCTCACTCTCCGCTTCGGTCCTCTGGCCTGATACTATTTTGCCCGTTGCCCGTAGACTAAAATCCTTACTCGGGATCCGGAGCTAAATCGTGATTCATGATTTATGTTATGCCACCCACACGCTACTCAGACATGCTACTCCGTCCCTGCGTTCTCTGACATCATTGTCCCGAAGTTCTGCCTGGAGGCGGTGGGGAACAGAGGGGACGGTGAGGGTTTCGCGTGTTACTCATACACATACTTCTCTTTTGCGCGGGCTTTCTAACTCGGAATCTCGGACTGCTACGTATGAGTAGGTGTAGGCGTAAGGATGTGGAGCGCTTTTAATGGGGCGCTTCACTTGTGTCGAAATCTTGCTATGCATGCATCGCGAGTGTAGGGGTTTGGAGTGGGCTGGCTGCTGAACTTCTCTTTAGTAGATGCATACTTCTGGTTAGAATGCCAGATCACCTGCTACAGCAGGCAGGTTTCATTGATTGAAAGGAAGGGCCGAGGCAAGAAGTAGGTATCGACTGTAATATACTGAGACGAGAGCGCTGAGCTACAAACGAAGAATTTACCATCCAAGAATGGTGAGGCGTTCCGGCGGCCAATGTTGGATGTTGCCCCACGGGAATAATCTCGGACTGACTTAGACTCATGGGGTGCAGGGGCCTCGGAGCCAGCCCTAACCTGCTCAGGAAAATCCCCGGGCTTTGCGCCTCGGTGCCTCAGGTACCCCACTCATGATACTCATGACCTCGTAGTTCGGTGCTATGATCCAGAAAGTAAAAGTACACTACGGCAAAGGCTATGCAACGAATTCATAAAACACAAAATGTGTGCTTTCATCTTGGCTGTCATTCGGGGCTTCGTCAGCAACATCATCATCCCCCCCTCATTCCTTGGCTCATTCCCCAGAAGTTAGTAGGTCATATTTTAACACAGCAGTTCAGCGTCGTCCCAATCAGATTAGAGGAAAATGGGTAATAAGAGTTGTTACGAGAACATGAAATGCAAGAACGAGGGACTGAGAGAGAGAAAGAAGAGCTCAAGACGCTGCATGCATCAAAGGAAAGGAAACATCATTGGCAACGCCACCGAGTTCAGCTACTTTGCCAAATAAACCACGATCCTGCGCAGTGACAAAGAACTCCCCTCAGTCTGCTCGATCCTCCTTCACATCCTTCGAGTAAGCTTTCTGCACGTGGCGAGGGCCACGCCCATCGAGCTCGAGCATGAATACAATGTCCCGAACCTGAATCCCGGCGCCCTTCGCCTTGTCCTCCCGCCAGCTCCCCAGTCGTTTCGCGGGGGCCGGCGCTGGTTCACCCGAGCGGCCAGCCTTTTCGCTGCCGGCGGTAGGCGTGACCGTGTTAACACGGGATGGCGTGGAAAACCCACTGCCTGCCGCCGATCCACGATTCAACCAGGAATATGACTTCTTCGCTCCGAACATTCGCCCAGAAAGCATGCTGTTGGTTGCCATCCGTGCCGTCTCCACAGATTGCTGATGTTGCTGAGCTTCGCTGGCTTTCGCGTCTATCAACTTCTTGGCTTCCTTCTTGGTGAGCCCCTTCTTGTCGATGCTGGGTGCCTTCTCTCCGATAGGTGTTGAGGCTCCAGAGCCGGGGATATCCACACTCTCCGCTCGACTGGCTACACCGTCGCCAAGGATAGCACTCGCACTGCGTTTCGCGCGCTTCGTCGCCCGAGCGTCTTCACTAGAATTGTCCTTCTCCGCGATGATGCGGTACTTTTCAAGTAGAGATCTCGTGCCTTGTTGATCCGTAGCTGGGTTTGGACCTAATACTGTTAGTGACTTTGGGTCAGTAGCGATGGATAGTCGAACATACGTTTGGCTGGCGTGCTGGGGTTCTCTGCACTCCCATTCGTCACACTAGCCGCAGACGCCACATCTTTCCAGTCAGCAGGAACCACGCCGTGGGAATGTGCGCGGCGACTTCTCGCCAGTGTAGAAGAATAATCCACAACCGAGCGCAGACGCTCCTCACAGGCAATCGACATGAGGCTTAGAATGTCAAGTAAGGGGGCCCCAGTTTGATTGAGAATCGTCTGTCCCGAACGGATGATAGACGACCCATCCGGTCCCGTCACTTCGATCGGTTGCTGGCGACCGGGGACGGGGTGATATAAGCCCTCCGCGGGGATGCGAACGCCCAGCTCAAACCCCCGCTTCTGCAACTTCTGCTCCAAAACCTTGGTCAAAAGGAATGAGTGCTGTAGGTGATACTGCGCACGTCGTGCCGCTTCGCTATCCTCTCGGGTTGGTTCATTAGGGTCTTTGAAAGGAGCGGGTGGCTGTGATGCTGGCTCTGTGTAAAACGAGTCTTGGGTCGGAGGTGGTTTGTAATGTGAGTTATCACCGAAACTCGGAGTAGAAGGAGCGGTGCCGGTGGTCGATGGCTGAGAGGAAAATGAGGTATTGACTGCGGCGGGTGGGGGTGGTGGCTGATGGTGAAGTTGTTGCGGGGCGGGAGGTTGTTGAGGTCGGGGAGCTTGTTGCGCTTGAACGCCTGGTCCGGAGTAGCTGCTGGTCAGGAATGCCTCTTCCTCACGCACATCGATTCCGGATGATGCCAACACGTCAGTCAACTCAGCAGCGTCCGTGGCTTTCTCAACCGGTCTTGACGGAGGTCCCATCGTGCCCGAAGGAGGAGGAGGAGGTGGTGGAGGAGGACCGGGAGTCGATGGAGGCGCAACACCGTTTAAGTTATTGGCATTGTAGGGAGCAGACTGATTCGGTGGTAGTTGCAGAGTACCGAAGCTGGGAGAGGCGTACGGTGACTGAGATTGTGGGAGAGGAGAAAGGCGCTGTCGCTTCGGGGGAGGAATACCGCCGTTCGGTATCGGCGACGGAGCACCTGGAGACGGTGAGGTTTGCGGAGGCGAGAAGGATGGGGTATAGTGTTGCCCCTGAGGTGGTGGTGGTTGCGCCATGGTAGTTTAGTCTGCGACAGTCGATGAATTTACTTCCGACTCAGATCAAACTCAGTCACGTCTATTGGAGATGCGTCGCGTATGTGTTGAGAATCCGAGCGGAGTGCTGATAACCGCCACCGCCACCAACTGTAACCATTTCACGACATCGATAGTGACATTCGAAGCATACAGAGAATCAGAACAGGGGTGTCGTGATAGATGTCGAGGGTATGCGCAGTGAATGAAGCGACGGGGAAAGCCAACGATGATGCTTTTCGAAATCGGGGAGGGGAGCTTCTGCGGCGGACGAGGTTTGCTTCCCAGCCCGATGCGGCGGAAAGGCCGGTCACGTGGCGCTAAAGGCCGCGTAGCCCGCGCTTAACCCATTAGTCACTCCTTAGTCCTCACGGCCAGGCCGTTCCAAGCCGCCGACCGCGTCTTTTTCCCTTCCAGCTTGAACTGTCCTCCTGTCGCGCCATAACACCCTTTCTTATCGGGAAATGGGCCAGGGTTAGTCTGGGACTTTGAGACATTGGAACCTTGTGCAAATTATTATCACAAATTACCTTCTATAGGCCTCACCCAGCCATTGCTGATCTTGTTTCAAGCGCCTCTTTCAGCGCCTGTCATGGCCTGTGGTTCCAGCGCCGACTGATTGACTGACTGACCTCATTTAAACAAAGGCAAGCCAGCCAGCCAACCAACTGTCGGAGCTAGACTGTTGCTCAACGTCAACAGCGCAACAATTGATAATCGCATTGCGCATAGTTACACTAACCTGGAACCTGACGCATTCGATCGCCTAACAGGCCGAGGTGCGCATCATGGCCACAAAACGCAAGGCAGCGGCGTTGAACGCCGCTATCGATGATGAACCGGTCGACCCCGCCGACGAGTTGGCCTTCCACTGTCTGGGAGGCGGCAATGAAGTCGGACGATCCTGTCATATTATTCAGTACAAGGGGAAGACTGTCATGGTAGGTGACAAGCAAAGTCCTATGTCTCGCTCTGGTGCCATGCTGACTTGCCAACTTCAATAGTTCGATGCAGGTATGCATCCTGGAAAGGAGGGCTTCTCGGCTCTTCCTTTCTTTGACGAGTTCGACTTGAGTACGGTAGATATTCTACTGATCAGCCAGTATGTGGGATAGCCTCTCCTTTGTGTTTCGCCGTTTCTGCCAGACTGTCCGTCGTCGTGTAAGACGAGCTCGTTAGCGCCTGTGTGCTACACCATGTATAGACCTATGCGCCCCCGGGGTATTTCTGGCGATGGCTCCTGCTATCGCCTCAAGCGATCCCCGCTCATGTACATGAGACTCCAATAAATATGATGTTATCTTCCATGTTGTGTCCTTGTATAATGCCTCGCGAGCAATATCATCTGCCACAATCGTGCCAGTGCTTCACCGCTGATACATGCTCCTCCTCCTCCTAGTTTCCACGTCGACCATTCATCGGCATTACCATATGTACTCAGCAAGACGAATTTCAAGGGTCGTGTGTTCATGACACATGCTACCAAGGCTATTTACAAGTGGCTCATCCAGGATAATGTGCGAGTGAGCAACACGTCGTCCTCGTCGGACCAACGCACTACTTTGTATACCGAGCATGATCACCACACCACACTTGATCAAATCGAGCTCATTGATTTCCACACCACCCACACCGTCAACGGCATTCGCTTTACTCCCTACCCGGCCGGTCATGTTCTCGGCGCTGCCATGTTCCTGGTCTCCATTGCCGACTTGAACATTCTTTTCACAGGCGATTATTCCCGAGAGGAAGACCGTCATCTGATTCCGGCGGAGGTTCCCAAGGGTATCAAGATCGACGTGCTCATCACCGAATCCACCTTCGGTATCTCGTCTACCCCGCCCCGTCTGGAGCGTGAAGCCGCCTTGATGAAGTCGGTCACCGGTGTTTTGAATCGTGGTGGCAGGGTCTTAATGCCGGTATTTGCTCTAGGTCGCGCCCAAGAAATCCTACTCATCTTGGATGAATATTGGGATACACACCCCGAGCTGCAGAGGATCCCTATCTACTACATCGGAAATACGGCCCGAAGATGTATGAACGTGTATCAGACATATATACATTCAATGAACGATAACATTAAGCGGCTCCACCGTCAGCGTATGGCGGAGGCGGAGGCGCGTGGGGACAACGCATTGAGTGTAGGACCCTGGGATTTCAAGTTCGTCCGGAGTCTGCGCAGCTTGGAGCGCTTTGATGATGTAGGAGGCTGTGTCATGCTGGCTTCGCCAGGTATGCTCCAGACGGGAACCAGTCGAGAGCTGCTGGAGCGATGGGCCCCCAACGAACGCAACGGCATTGTCATGACCGGTTACAGTGTGGAAGGCACAATGGCCAAACAGATCTTGAATGAGCCAGAACAGATTCCCGCGGTGATGTCTAGAGCAGCGTCAGGGATGGTAAGACGAAACGGCGACGAGGAGCAGAAGGTCATGATTCCCCGACGGTGTACTGTGGATGAGATCAGTTTCGCAGCTCATGTGGACGGTGTTCAGAACCGGAACTTCATTGAGGAAATCTCCGCACCTGTTGTGGTATGTATATCTCCGAGCAGGATTGTGACACCACACTGACTGACATGTTTAGATCCTGGTCCACGGCGAGAAACATCAGATGATGCGTCTCAAGTCCAAATTGCTCAGCCTAAACGCCGAGAAGACCGTCAAAGTGAAGGTGTACACTCCGGCCAACTGCGATGAGGTCCGCATTCCTTTCAAAAAGGACAAGATTGCAAAGGTTGTTGGTAAATTGGCCCAAGTGGCACCTCCGACCGAGGAGGACGACGGTCACTTGATGACTGGAGTTCTCGTAGAGAACGGCTTTGACTTGTCGTTGATGGCTCCTGACGATCTCAGGGAGTACGCTGGTCTCACCACAACCACCATCGTATGCAAGCAGCATCTCACACTGAGCTCTGCAAGCATAGACTTGATCAAGTGGGCACTTGAGGGGACTTTCGGCGCTATTGAAGAGGTGGGCGCTCCACAAAAGAAGATCAAGAAGGAAAGCGGAGACGGCACTTTAGATACGGAAGCGAGCCAGATCAAAGAAGAGGCTGCTGATGAGGAAATCCCTATGGAGGACACGCAAACGTACCTTGTCATGGGCTGTGTGCTACTTCGCTACCATCCTCGCACCCGTGAGCTTGAGCTCGAGTGGGAGGGTAACATTATGAACGATGGAGTCGCGGACGCCGTTATGGCCGTTCTTCTCACGGTGGAAAGCAGCCCTGCATCTGTGAAACGTATGTTGGTATCTGGGCATGGTTGCGATGTATATGGCTAACTCGTCTTGCAGAATCCGCGAAGCAAAACCATCACCACCATCACCATCATCACCAATACGACGATGTTGACGAATTGCCCAATCCCCACTCTAACCTAGGACCGGAAGAGCGATTCCGACGCCTGCTCATGATGCTACAAGCACAATTTGGGTCTGAGATCGTGGCCATCGAGCGTCCACGACTGCCTCCTAACCGGCTCACAAACGGCACAGCCAAGCCCGAGACCAAAAGCGAGGCTGGCGACCAAACACCCATCAAGCAAGAGGACGAGGAAGAAGACGAGGATGACGAAACGACGGAGGAGCTAGAAGCGGCCGAGTTGGCTCGTCTCGAGGCGCTGGGTATCCCCTTTCCGGGACTTGAGATCAAGGTTGACAAGCACGTTGCGCGGGTCTGGCTGGAGACTCTGGAGGTGGAGTGTGCGAACGCAGTGCTGAGGGACCGGATTCGGGTGGTCATTGAACGGGCCGTCGAAACGGTGGCGAGCATGTGGCAGGAGGGACCGGCGCCTGCCACCATTGCCAACGGAGATAGCAAGGAGGATAGTTCGATGTCTAAGGCTGCGGCCATCGAGGCCAAGGCATAGATACTTGCAGTTTTGTGTACTGTACTTGTAGTCCTTGTTTGGGTCTGGGCCAAGCTGTGCCTGGGCGTATATGTCTTAGCGAGAATGATGATTCAGAAACAATATCCAATGGAAATAACTCTTGCTTATGCATGATATTGTAGCCTGGCCAATTTAAAATGCATACAATAGTGAAAATGCGCTATTTGTAAAGCATCCCAGGACTAACCCCCCTCCCTCCCAATGCACCTACCGTAAACAACATACTCAATCATAGTTTTCCCACCATTCCAACCTTCAAACTCTGAAAAACCGCCTCAACCACCTCGCCCGTCTTCCGAACAATCAAATCCACCTCCTCCTGGGTGACATTATACGGCGGTGCCAACAACACATGGTCCCCTCGCACCCCATCCATCGTCCCATTGCCGGCATACAACGAGATGCCAAACCGAGGATCCATCCCCATCTCCTGCACCAGTCCCGCCACCTTCGCCTCCGGACTAAACGGCTCCTTTGTCGCTTTATCTCTGACAAATTCAACCTACACCACCGTGCATGAATCCGGGTCAGCCATCGATCATCCAAGCTTTCGTCCAATGTGCACTGGAAACACAACATGAAGGGAAAACGATTACTCACCCCCCAAAACAACCCCCTCCCCCTAACATCCCCAACATGCGGATGGGTCCCCAACCGCTCCGTCAACTTCTGCCCCAGATACGTCCCCATCCGCCGCACATTCTCCAGGAGGTTATCCCGCTGGATGACCTTCTGCACCGCCAGCGCGGCCGCGCACCCCACCGGATGACCCTGGTAGGTCTGGCCGTGCCGAAACACCCCCGTGCCGGCGTCGAGCACCCGCACGACCTTCTCGTGGATGAGGAGCCCCGAGACCGGCGCGTACCCGCCGCCCAGCCCCTTGCCGATGGCTTGGAGGTCCGGCACCACGCCCTCGGGCTCCCAGGCGTGCAGCGTGCCGCAGCGGCCCATGCCGCTCATGACTTCGTCGAGGATGAGGAGGGCGCCGTGTTTGTGGACGATGCGTTGGATGGCGGGAAGGTAGGTGGGGAGCGGGGGGAGGGCGGCTAGGCTCTATATTTTTTGGGGTGGGAGTTAGAGGTTGTTTGTGAGGGGGCCTAAGAGGGGCAGGTTATGGAGATAGGGGGTGGGAGATGAGCTAGAGATATAGCTTGGCAAGGGGAGATGAAGTACGTACAGCTCCGACGACGGTCTCCATGACGAATGCGCAGACGTTCTCGGGTCCCACGCGCTGGAACTCGGCTTCTAGTTCTGCGGCGAGCCGGGCGACGTAGTCGGTATCGGACTCGTTGGCATTCTTGCCGCGGTAGGGGTAGCATGGGGAGACGTGGGAGGTGTTGGTCGATAGGAGAGGCTCGAAGGGCTGTCGGCGGGTGGTGTGGCCCCCGACGGAGAGAGCGCCCAGCGTCACGCCGTGGTAGGAGGGTTTGCGAGCGATAAAGCGTGTGCGTTGGGGCTGCGGGGTGGAGAGCTCGAGGAAGTATTGGCGCGCGAGCTTGAGGGCTGCTTCGATTGCTTCGGAGCCTGCGGGGATGCTGAGGCTTAGTATTGCATGTTTGCTGTAAGATGGGAGATTGGGGTAGAAGGGGGGGAACGGGGGGTCTTACCGGAGCTCACGATAAACGCTTTCGATAGTTGACCTCCGGTCGATTCAGCCAGGAACCGACCGAGCTCCTCGGATGCTTCTGTGCTGAAGAAGGCGGAGTGGCAGTAGGACAGCTGGTTCATTTGGTCGGTGATTGCCTGTTGGATCTCCTCGTGGCCGTGGCCGAGACACGCGACGGCCGCACCGCCGGTCGAGTCAAGGAACTTGGTCCCATCTTCGAGGTAGATGTAGCAGCCTTTCCCGCCGATGGCCTTCTTCGGTATGTGCTGAGTGTCTCTGTGGAGAACGGCGCTCTGAGTGGAAGGCTCTGGTTCTGTGTTAGTATTGCTTGTAGCGAGGTATAGTTGCGCGAGTATGGGTGCAGGAAGTCTGCTGTACCTGATTTCATCATGGTTAAACAAATTCGAGATCGAACTATCAGTGTATCGATCGCTTGTGTGATTGCACGAGCCAGAGTAGATGTGAGTTCATGTTTGATGGCAGGGACGTTGCTCGTATTTATGTGTGGGAGTTCAGAACATTCACCTTTGTTCTGAACTTCTGGCTGTACCTCATGTGTGGGGAGAGAGCGGGGGTGAAATCGGCAAGCCGATCGCGTCTGGAGAAGCCGAGGATGTGGTTGGCTGCCCCCGCCGACGGGGCCGATCTCCGGGGTCGACTTACAGTGCCTCAGTGATACTATGTAACTTGATAAGTCATAACACTTCCAGATCTGAGTAATCGAAGATAAGTACAAGAGTGCTAGAGTGTTATCCTAGAGATATGGCTATCAGAAGCGATCAATGATCGGCAATAGACCATCTCGTACACTACATAGCATATAGGTGGGCTTGCAAAGAGGTCGTAGAGGTACTGGCAATGCTTGTGATTTGTTCGAGCTCTAATTTTAGTATAACTCTATATTGATGGTAAGTTGGTACAGATATTTTACTTGATCAGTCAGGAGTTTAAAGAAGCTTTGCAGCATTCGGCTGCTCCGATCTACCTCGTTGATGATATAGATGATATGCGGCTGGGTAAGAATCACAATGGCGAGATCTACTACATCAGGAAACTGATACTCAATAAGAGCAGTTTCAGAGTATACTGGTCTGTCAATTTCTATGAAAATGTACAGTATATGAGCGGAGGTGAACTCGGAGCATTCTCAACCCGCAGCTAACTCACCACGAGCTGTTGTAGCTGTGGCGTGGCGGGCGGTGGAGCGAGTGTCCCGCTCCGCACCAGTTGGCCGGCCGGCCACTAAAACTTCCCTTCCGCACAGAAAGGCCAGCCAGCCAAACGGACCTCTCTCCACCCCAAACACAGCTCCCTCCCCCCTCCCTCCCTCCCTCATCTCCAACTCCCCCGTCGTTCTCTTCTCTACTCGATCCGATAAACAACACACATCCAACTTCACCGGAGCAACACACACAGCATTTCATCATGTCGCGAGCAGCCCGAGTCGAGGAGGTGTACGACTCCGACCCCGAGGAAGTTGCGCCCTCCGCCAGCTTCGCCAACGACGCCATCATTTCTCCTGCTGGCATCCCCACCACGTCTGCTATGCCCACGAGGCCTCCCCCGGAGCCCACGCGCGAGATCCCTAAACATTACCAATGCTTGTATCCCATATACTTCGACAAGTCTCGATCCCGCGCAGAGGGCCGCAAGGTCGGCGCTGAACTGGCCGTCGAGAACCCATTGGCTCGAGACATCGTCGATGCAGTGCAAATGATGGGGTTGACCGTGGGATTCGAGCCGGAGAAGTTGCATCCCAAGGACTGGGCCAACCCTGGTCGCGTGCGCGTGATGCTGAAAGACGAGAGTGGCCAATTGGTCAACCCGCAAATCAAGAACAGTATGCTCAATCCTTAAACCATTCTAGTTGCCAGACACTAGTCGACGAGCGTTGGCGCTAATACTTCTTCCTTAAGAACACCATCTATACATCCTTGTGGCGCAGTACCTCAAAGCTCACCCAACTACCGAGGAATCGCCCTACCGGTTGAGAATCCGAGGACTTCCGGTGCCCGAGAAACTCCCCGGCGCTCCCCCCGCTCCCCGGGGCTGGAAGATCGGAAAGATTCTCCCCATCCACTCCCCCGCCTACAGCGGTGGCGGTGTCAGCGATAACCCGCTCAAGGACGCCATGGCTGAGATGCAAAACATGCAAGGCATGCCCGGTATGCCTGAGATACCCGGAATGGCGGATCTGGCAAACATGATGGGCGGCTTAGGAGGCCTGGGTGGCTTGGGTGGCGGCAGCCCTGCCGCTCCCAGCGGCAGTGAAAAGAAGAAGAAGGACAAGAAGAAGGGCAAGGCTTAGGGTGTCTGATCTACTCCACCCTTGTGGTGTGTCATGTGGTATATATGCTTTCGGTTGCATGGGCATGGGCGAAAGGCGTTTTGTTGCTTCCAGATATAAAGAGCATCATTGCTGTTCTCATGATACCAAGTTGATATTGGAGCCATCCTTCCTTTTGGTTTGTTGTCGTAGGATAGAACACCCATGTGGCGAGGGCTCTGCTAGTTTCTCAATGTAGATATGAGACCTGTTTGTTACTGTGCCAGCCTCAAATGTTCCCCATTCTTGCATCTATATTTCGACCAACAGGGACTTATTTTTTTTTTTTTGAATGAATTCCCAAGCTGGTGACGGAGTGTAGCTGGCTTGGGTATGAGGCGGCTGTTATTGGCCGAGGTGACGGCGATTGCCGATAACGCTCTTCTTACCCCGGATGCCATCAATAATCACGGGTACTCCCAATCGAGGCCCCGCTGACTGGAAATTATTCTTTCAGAATTCCACGTCTCGATTTTCGCACCCATTGCGCGAAATTCATTGCATGACTCAGTCTTCATCGCGCTACTCACTCTGGGACTAAAGAGACTGACCCAAGCGCAGCAGCCTCAGCTCTCCCTCCATGAATCACCCTCCTGCGCCGTCAATGGATCACAGCACCCCGCCACTGCGACCGAGGGACCATGAACACCAGCTCACCTCCCAGCAACCCCTCCAACCCAGGGAAAGTCAACCCCAGCTCCAAATCTCCGCGATGCTGCAGCAACTATGACGCCACCCCTGCCTCTGCTTCCTCTTCCTCCTCCGCTGCGCCCCGGGTCGGGAAACCGGGAGGTCGTCAGATCACGCGGAACCGCGCCAGCTACAGCTGCCATACCTGTCGGAGACGGAAGGTGAAATGCGACAAGGTGTGTTTGTTGTTTGGAATAACTCTTCCATTCGCGCAGAGCGTTCTCAAACTAACTTTCACCTTCCCTTGTGAAAATCCTCAGGTCCATCCAATCTGCGGGAACTGCCAAAAGAACGAAACCGAATGTGTCTACGATGTCTCCGCGCAGAAAGACGCGGAGGCGCGCAATGTGCCGCCAGCCAAGGACGGCCAGGGTGTCAAGCGACGGAGGGAGTCATCGCAGCAGCTGGACGACGACATAGATGAGCTTCAATCTATCTACGGCCATTTGAAGCGGTCCGGCTCGGCGGAGCAGCAGAGGCTCGGGTCACAAGGGATCGAGGCGCGGTTGGATAAGCTCACGTCCATGATTGAGCGGCTCAGTAAAACCAACAGTCAGACATTGGATCCGGCGGAGAAGCGGTTGCTGCTGCAAAGTGCGGGCTCGGATTCGTCTAAGAGAGAACCTCACCGTGTGGCCGGCGCGGCGGTTGCGTCTGCGTCTGCGTCTGCGACGAAGGCCTCCGATACAGCGCGCTCGGATAGCCCGCGTCGCGTGGCGGATTCGAGTGGGGATGAGTTCCCGATCCCTGCCGGTCATGCTACGGACTTGGTCGATCCAGTGGGGAGTCTGAACTTGGGTCATCTGAGTTTGGAGGATGGAGGTCGGTCGAGGTAGGTTTCCTGGTGTGGGAGGAAGAAGCTCTGTGGCTTATCGTGATGCAGATATGTGGGAACTACGTACTGGGCTTATATCTCTCATGAGGTACGAATTGAAGTCCCCGACTACTGCTGCAGTATTTGGTTGCTAACGGAAGCAGATCAACGAGCTCAATCAACTACTTAGGGTCCAAAACCGATCGCATAATGAGCGGAACTCGCAGGACACTTCTGCTGAAGATACTACGACGGAACCTATGGAAGCGACGCCTATCCGTCAATGGAAGCCAGTGCCAGATGTTCCTGGTGAGCTTGCGACCGATCAGGCCTCCCGGGGAGAAAGGTTTCAGAAGTCTGTGCTGTTTCCATCAGGTGAATCGCCTTCGGTCAAGGACAAGGTGGTTGAGCCTGAGATGCTGGAGAATATGCCGACAAAGCGACAAAGTCACATCCTGTACAAAGGATTCATGTCTGGGGTCCACGCAATCACTCCAGTGATCCACCCACCGACAATACACAAACTCTACTACTCGTTTTGGGACTGGTATGACTCCAGCAGCTACTCGGGCGACCCTTGCCCAGACCCGTCGTTCATCCCGTTGCTTTATGCCATCTGGTATGGTGGATCTGTCACTATCTCACTACGAACCATCAAGGCTGAATTCAATGTGTCGTCCCGCTCAACACTCTCCAAGGCATACAACGATGAAGTCACAAGATGGTTGACCAAAATCTCTTTCCCTCGAAGTCCGTCTCTGCAAGGCTTGGCTGCATATCTCCTGGTTCAGACGATACTCGCGAAGGAAGAAGAGCCTCTAACGAGCAGTCTGTTCGTCAGTCTCGCCATGAGGGTAGCTCAAACCATGGGCTTACATCGAGATCCTGCGAAATTCGGTATTGGTCCCTGTGAAGCAGAATATCGTCGTCGCATATGGTGGCATATCGTCCACATGGATGGTGTGGTCGCCATGTCCAGTGGATTGCCTCCCTTGGTCAGTGACGAGAACTACTGGGATGTTCGCGACAGTAGCGAGGTGAAAGACACCTTGCTCGGTACTCCAGAGGCTGAAAAGTATGATCGACTAGTCATGACCGGCTTACGGCTCCCTGACAACCCAGACGATCCAACCATTTGTGGCGGTCCCTCGATGGTCAACGTATACTATCTGGCAGCCCGGGGAAAGTATACGATGGCTCGTAAGTTTTAATCAACGCGAAATAATGGCATAGAAAGTCTAATATGAGCTCTATAGGTGCTGTCCGACGGATCCTGAAGATCCAGCTGGGTACCAGGCCCTTGACACGGCGGGATATGGAAGAGCTTAGGGCGATTCTGGTTGAGTTGCAGCAGAACTTGAACTCCATCGTCTCCCGTATACCAGAAGCGGACTCGACCGATGTTTCTTCGGTTCCCTCGACTAGGTCTTGGTCTACCTCCTCGCTTGCTGAAAACCGCAGCAGCGATATTGAGCTTCCCGGAGAAGGGCCGAACGGCTGTCCTGAGCAGTACCATTCCCCAGTTCTTGTGTCTTTCCACAAGTGGGCCAGGATTGTCCTCTCACTCTTCATTGACAAGGTACGTAAGCACACTTTATTTCCCCGTAGCACACGAAATCTATGCTAATGAATGCTAGGCATTCTGTGTCGCCTATCAACCTTTTCTGAAGAATGCAAAGAGCCGGATCTGGCCAGCTGCGAGACAAAGGTGCGTCCTACTTGAGTGAAATTTCTCTTAGTTACTTACATGGCATAGCGCTCTCCGCCATTGTCATGGCTTCATGGAGAAGTTTGTTTCTCTCGCAACCGACCCTGATTTTCAGCCGTTCCAATGGAGCTGGCCCGGCAATCACCAGCCAATGCACGCCACCATGATCATGCTCATTGATCTCTATGAACGGCCCTACAGTGCCGAGGCGCCCAAATCACGGGCCTACATTGACAAAATCTTCTCCATGACAGGCCCCGATGGAGGAGTTGTTGGGGGTGAAGATGGCATTTCAACTCAACGACCCTTGAACGACGGTGGTCGCGAGGCATGGGACATGATCCGTAGGCTGCGGCAGCAGGCCTGGCAGCGAGCTGGACTCGATCCAAGTCGACTATGGTCCGAACAGGCGCAGATCCAAGCGGGCGTGGCCTCCAACGTTGATGACCATACATCTGCCATTGAAGCAGATGCTGCCTCCCGGCGACAGCCCAGGGACTTCTCCAAGCTACTTCACAACACGACTCGATCTCACCTCCGCCCCAGCTCATCACTCCGCTACCAACTCCCTTCTCCCACCCAGCAGCATCACCAGCATCAGCAGCAACAACGACAACAACAGCGAAGATCCCCTTCGCAATCAGCCAGCCCCCAAATGATGTCTCCCGACCCCCACCACCGCCCCTCCTCCACATCCCCCTCCTCCCCAATCGCCCAACAACAACAACCAAGCAGCGAACCGTCCCCCTCGTCACCCCTGCCCCAACCCGGAGGTGGTCCCTCGAGCACCACGACCACCTCCGAGAACCCGAGCACGAACATGCACATGTCCTCCCTACTTCCGCCAGGCCTGAACCCAGGCTTCAACTTCAACCAACAATCCCTGCCTTCGGCACCACCTCCTGCGCTGTCCGCCTTCCTCGTCGACGTCGCCGCCCCCGCCGCCGCCTCGCCCGCCACGCAGGCCATGACCGGAGTCCCCACCCCGCCCTCCATGGTGGATCCGAACCTAAACTTCGACTGGGACCAGTGGGACGCCGTCTTCGGGCAGCACCTGCCCGTCGCCGACGAGCTCATGGAGCTCGACCCGGTCACCGGGTTCGAGTTTGGGGATTTGGGTATGGAGGGTAGTCCAGGTGCTGGGGCTGGGGCTGGGGCTGGCGGAGAGATGTCCTCGCATCGGTCTACTTGGGCGGGTTATTGAATTTATACATACATAGTAGAAATGAAAGTGATCCGATCTCTCTCGTAAATGTTTGGGTGTACTATATAGGATCCGTCCATCAACCGACATGACGAATTCAATGCACGGTTGATAATGTAGAATGTGTATTTGACTTTTTAGGGTGTGTAGTTTGACTTTCAGTCGGTGAATTCTTATGTATACCCAAAGTACCATTTACTGGGAATCTAGAAAGATTGATAGAAGATGAAGATAGGGGAAACGTTTGGAAAAAAAGTTATGGAATTCATGAGGCGTGACTTTTGGTCTAAAGAGCAACAAACGGTTGTTTGCTGTTTTAACCAAGGATTTTCTTGATTCATGACAACATTCTTCGCACAACAAGGTTGAGGTTGAGGATGTGGGGGGGTTGAGCGGGAGACGTTCAAGAGGGGTATAATTGATCTTTTTATTTGAAAAGGCTGACTTGTAATTTTCCCTTAGACCTTGACCTCGCGGAGACCGTGCTTCCAGAGGGTGGCGTAGGGGGTGACACCGTCTTCACGGAAGTCAATGAGGACGTGCCTGCAATTATATTAGCAAATTGTTTGGATTTAGTCGGAATAAGGAAACATACATAGCATCACCGTCCATGGACTGACCCATGAGGACATCGTAGTTGTCGTAGTTGGCCAGGATCTTCTTGACGGCACCGGGGGCACCCTTCTTGAACTCGTTGATGGTCTCCTCGCTGGCACCGGTCTCCTGGAGCTTGGTAAGAACCTTCTTCATGTAGCCTATTTGGTACGCGAGTTAGCCAGTTGTTTCTGATTGGATTCTTGGTTGCGTGTTGTTTGTTTGTGTGTGGGTGTGTGTAGTGTGGTTGAGAGGGAACATACTCTTGAGGTGAGACTTGAAGGCATCCTTGGAGGGCTTGAGGCCCTCCTCGGTCTTGAGCCAGACGAGACGGAATTGGTCCTCGATGTCGTGGACCATGACCTTCTCACCCTCACCACCCTCATCCTCATCGCCACCCTCAGCGGAGGGGTTGGCACCCTCGAGCTGGAAGTCCTCGTTGGTGCTCTTCATGTACTTGCGGCAGTCGCACTCGAAGAGAACGCCATCGACGACCTTCAGGTTGAAGGTGTCGGCGACCATCTCGTCGCCGGAGATAATGTCCTATTCCAGAGTTGATGCATTAGTGGGGTGTTTTTCAGATGTTGGGTATATTGCAATCGGGAGGTGATAAGGCAGAGGTCGAGGCAGAGGAGCAAGAGACAGGTCCAACAGCTACAGCTGCATGCAGCATGTACAGAATGCTTGCTGCTGCTGCTGTTGTTGTCGTTGTTGACATTCCTGCCAGGTTGCCTGCCTGCCTGTCATGCTGCATTGGGCTGAAAAGCGGCCTCCCCCCCAAAAAGCAACGTGGTTGTTTTGCCAAGGAAACAGAGACAACAATCACGAAGAAACGAAAGCAAAGAAGATAAAAAAAATCAGCATACCTCAAAGATAATCATTTTGGCTGGTGAGGGGGGTGAAGATGAAAAGAGATGGGAATGAAGGTAAAAAGAGACGGGGCTGGAAAAGAAAGGAAGGGAAAAGGAAGAGGAGAAAAAGAGGGGAAGAGTTGAAGATTAATATTGCTTTTAGTGGCGCTGTTTTCCCTCCAACTTTGGTGGGGTCGTTTTTTTTTTTTCTCGCTGGCTTTTTTTCCCTTCCAATTTTCCTTCTTTTCCCTCGAGGGGCAAAACGGATACGCTAACCGGATTGGGCCGTGGTCGATTTGTCTCGGCCTGAGAGGGAAAATGAATCAGAGAACCTCTCTAGAAAGAGTCTGGAGTCTAGAAAAGTCCGATGGCAAATCTGATATTGTGCTTGTGTAGAACAGCGGGGTTGTTCTCTATAATGGGGGAGAGTGGTTGCTGTGTCTTTTGAATTATGAGTACTTTGGAGGTAGGATGGAAATTGTTTGCTGCATAATGTCTACTGATAGATTACACTGCAGCATCTGATATTACTCCGTAGTTGCTCTCCGTATGCGCATAAGCATCCCCTCTTTCTGCCTAAGGTATCAACATGAACACCGGCCTCACCTCCATCCATGTCCATCCGGTAAATTACCTCGTCACATTTTCGTCTTCGGGTACCTGACCGCCTCCCGTTTGCCTTCAAAGTTTCCGTCTGCTGTTTGCAGCCACCAACCACTCGATCGAATTACCATACCTGACAGACCAGTGGTGCCACTGCGGCTGCTCTTTCTGCTCTCTCACTCGCTCTCTCTCTCTCTGTGTTCTCCATTTCACCCTCTCGCCTCCTCCTCTTCTTCGTTTCCCCTCCCAATCAATCTTCAATCAGTCAGTCTTTATCTTACCCTCCCAAAAAAAAGATCTATTCTTCAATCTATCATTCCCTGCTACTATATTTTACTCTATCTCCTCGTCCTTCCTTTTCATCCTCCCCTAAATAACCTCAATACTTCCTTCTTCTGTCTCGAGTGATTGAACTTTTGTCTTCTTGTTCTATACCTTCCAGCCCCAACAGTTCTCCGGGCGGGAGTGATTGTCAGCCTCGTTCGTCCCCTGATTTTCATTTCTGGTGGGCCGCTCCCCTGGGCCAGGATTCCGAAGCACAGAGGATCTCACCACCACCACCACCACCACCACCAATATCCCCCGCCACTTCTCCCCGTCCCACTTACCTTCGGATAGTGCGGACTATATCTTCCTAATTTATCCCTGGTTTCACGGTCTCCTCTTCTCCTTCTAGTCTATCACTATCGCTAGTCGGACTCCCTTATACTCTCAAACCCAGCCTCCCTTCGATCTAAGCGCCGACCAGATCTGCAAGCGGACTGAGCACCAGTAGCTTCGTCCTCCACATCGGCACTTTCAAGCCACCCATGCGGCAGTGTGCTTGATTGATTGTTCCCTTTGCTATCCTACCACATACACAACCCATCGTCAGTCTACGACTGCGAAGCCGTTTCGTCATGGCTACCAATGCCTCGGTCGTCTTCGACCTTCCGCCTCTTCCGACCTATACCCTGACTCCGCGTCCTCCACTTCTCGACCCCATTCCGGACAACCTCCTCGCCCTCATGCTTCCCATCATTGCCTACTGGGCTCTTTCGATGGTCTATCACTACATCGATGTCAACGACTACTTCCCGCAATACCGTCTTCACACACCCGCGGAAGTATTGAAGCGGAATCATGTCACGCGCTGGGAGGTGGTGAGGGATGTCATTCTTCAGCAAGTCATTCAAACCATGGCCGGTCTGACTGTCGCATATTTCGATGACCCGGAGTACTTGGGCAAGGATGAATACAATGTTGCGGTTTGGGCTCGTCGACTTCGCCTGGCGCAGAAGGCTCTCCCTCAGCTGCTGGCCCTGGTCGGGATCGACGCATTGGGTCTTAGCAAGAACCTGTCGCAGAATGGCTGGTCAATGCTGGGAGGAGCCGTAGCCGGTGGGCGCTACCCGGGATGCACTCAGTCGATGATTTTGGACAGCGGAGTGGAAGCCGTGGTTCCGGCTTTCACTAACTGGGAGCTGTCAGCGGCCAGTGCCCTCTACTGGTACCTCATCCCTGCCCTGCAATTCGTGTGGGCCGTCTGTGTCGTCGACACCTGGCAGTATTTCCTGCACCGCGCCATGCACATGAACCGCTGGCTCTATGGTAAGTGAATCAGCAATTTTCCGCTGCGCAAGGCTCGTGATTCAAAAAAGTCTGAGTGTGACCAACTAAATATCGATCAGTGACCTTCCATTCCCGCCACCATCGCTTGTATGTTCCGTATGCGTTCGGAGCTCTGTACAACCACCCCGTCGAAGGTTTTCTGCTTGATACGGCTGGCACTGGGGTTGCATTCCTCACGGCTGGCATGAGCAACCGTCAGGGCATGTGGTTCTTCACTTTTTCCACCATCAAAACTGTGGATGACCACTGCGGCTACGCTTTTCCTTGGGACCCATTGCAGCACTTTACCTCCAACAACGCGGCCTACCATGATATCCACCACCAAAGCTGGGGCATCAAAACCAACTTCTCGCAGCCCTTCTTTACCATCTGGGATCGTTTCTTTAAAACTCGGTGGGAAGGTGACGTTAAGCTCCGCTATGAGCGGTCCCGCGAAGCTGCCCAGAAGAAGGTGGATAACGAAGCTGCCGGCATCGCCAACGAAAGCAGCGACCCGACCTCTTCCGGGACCTCAACTCCCACGCTCGGCCGGGCATCCGATGAATCAACCTCGCGTCCCCGACGAAGAAAAACTGTGACCCTCTCACCCCACGTCGATGGGTTCAAGGGAGTGAGTCACGGGGTCGCCAGCAGCGTCCTCTAAATCCAAGGCGGCCCTTGCCCTCTTGTGTACGCCTAAAGTTCGCTTGTAACTATTTTCTTGCTAATATTTAACACTCACCGGGTGTCTTGGGAGTTGCAGGCCGTCTCCTAACCATTGCGGATATCGCTGTTTACTCTTCGCTACCTTGACCTTGTCTTATGCTGTATTAATATTCTTTTCGGCCTCGCAGATCCCATGACTATGATTGTACCATGGTTTCATCACTTCTTGCTCAGTACGACATTGGACTGCCACTGGACTACCACGCATGGCTGTGAGACTTTGAAATAATGACCGGTTTCTGCTTTTACTTTCCTCTTCTTTTCATTATTATTTATTAGCTTATTATATGGAGCTTATATTACAATTGAGATGCAATGTACATGGGAAATCAACTTGCTACCTTCAAACGCCGTTGTCCTCTGCAATCAATGAAATCGCCCCCAGTCACCTCAATCTTTCAACCCCGCCTGCTAGTCCCGGACTTGTTGAAGAATGGAATCGCGGATCGCGTGGTGGTATGGATACTACTACACTCTGACGAGGATGGTTCGTCGTGATGGTAGGGTTGGGCTGCTATATGATCAACGAAGGTCGGCGTCCAAAGAGCTTTTTCTTGCAGAGCTATTTCGTTACATATGCTATTCAGATCGAGGTCTTCCAGATCCTCGGAAGGCTCTGCTCGGCGGCGTTGCGTCAAACTCCCGGTCGAGGAAGGGTATCTAGGACCCACGGGAGGTCCTTTGGCAAGGTGCGGCAGCAACAACGCTTGAATCTCGTGCTCTAGCCTGTCTTCCTCCAAATCTGAACTGCTAGAGTAAGGGGCTTTCACCATGCGGGCCTCTGGCGAGGCACCTTCGTCATGGATCAGGGTAGCATTTTCCTCTCCCAAGCTCGGTTTCTTCACGTTCAAGGGACGAACTGTTACCATATTGTCAGCAGTGGATTTTGAATGGCTCGGGGTTACCAGGATGGCGGTTCCCGCGTAATCAACCTGTACTTTGGTAGCCTCCTTGACGACGACATCCTCAACACCTGCCTCCTCCGCGATACTGTCGAGGTGCGGCAGCCGTGTGGTTCTGGCTTGTTTGGGTTTGGGCTGCTTGACCGACTTCTTCCGTCGTTGGGGGCTGGGAGCCATCCTGGCATGGGCCGTGGAACGATCATCTGCCTGCTGCAAGTCCTCGTCTGTGTAGATGAGTTCCTCGGGTTGGTACGGATGATCTGCTGCGCGAGAGCGCGTGCGGTGCCGCAGCTTGTCGTTCAGGACTTGCTCCCTTTGCATCACTTTGTTCGCCTGACGGAGCTGCCGAGCGGCAACGTATAGAGCGTCCGCGCGCGCGGCCTTGACCTTGAAGGCCAGGCAGCTGCTCGTGTAACCCAAGTCGCACGGAAGGCCTCCGTAGGCCTTGACTGCCGCCTCTCCCTCAGGAGCGAACGACCCGATGGCCGCGTCCACAAAAGGGAGCAATTTCGGGATCCGTATTTCAGGTTTGGTTCGCACGCGACTGACCAGCGCTGTGCGGAGGTTGCGCAGACACCATGGCTCATTCACGATTCTCGCCAACATACATGCCTCGCATTTGTTCTCCTGGAAGCAGACCGCGCCCTTGGGGGGCACGTCGTCCTTGGCCTCCGGCATCCACCACATTCCGGTAACCGCCAGCAGGGCGTCGACAAGGTTGTTGACCGCCTCGTCCGAGAACTCGCGGTACCACTTCAAGAAGGTCAGATTGTGGGTCACCTCCCGCTGGAGCAGCGCGAAGAGGCTGCCGATGACATAGGCGTTGAGCTCCTCGTGGACCTCGCACAGCACGGCGGCCTCCGCATCGTGGCGCAGCATGCGCACCCACTTGGAGCGCTGGCGGAGCTCCGTCGGCAGCCCGCGGATGGCTTCCTTGATCTGCTGCACGACCTGGGGACTGCGGATCTGTCCGAGATACTCGGTCTCGGCGGCATCCTGATCGCTGTCGATGCTCAGGACTTCGATTAGTTTCTTCAGCTGCTGTTTGGTGAGGTCAGCGGCATAATGAGGGTAGTAGTCCAGCATTTTGAACGATGTTGCCGGGGTTTGGGCTTGGATGGCTTGGCTTGGCTTACAGGCACACAGATTTGGCTTGGAGATTTGTGCTAACAACTACTATAACCCACGCGGCGAAGCTTTTTCCTCTGCTTAGTGGATGTATTATATATAACAGCATAAAAGCACTGAGCACTCAAGTAAGTCTGCGTGGCGTGTGTGAGTGACACGGAAGATCACGGGTGGCCAAGGGCAATTTATAGGCTCATTGGGAAGTTTGGTTTCCAAATTTCACAGGGTAGGATCCGGGGGATTGTCATTCTCTGGTTTATGATCAGTTCAAGTATTGAGATTCTGGTCAATAGGCTATGCCATTGTGCTGATGGGGGACAAGGCCCCCCAAAATCACGCTCATTGTTTAGGCTTCTTTGAACGCTATTGCGTTGATTATACTGAGTCAAGCCCTAAGATTGTTGGGGGGGCTTGAACCTCAGATCCTGCCATTCATGCGTAGCCCAAGAACCGGAGATCTTCAGTTATCATTATCGTTTATTTTCTTTGTGATGAAAGAGGTTGACGAAGATTTTCGGTGTGATTTGTG